TGACATATTGCACATACAGAACCCATTCAGACCCATTTATTGTTCCATGCTCCAATTCACTACAAAGTTGCATGCCTGGAATGCTAATTCTAGTAAACATGCAAGCAGCCATCAGAACACAAGTGTGGAACTTTCCAAGTATACACACATAATTTATTTTTGAAGAACGCAAATTATAAAATATCCACTGTTAAGAATTATAGGTACAGTATTAGAAACACACAAAAGTGATGGGAACCAATAGCCTTGTGATGCAGAAAGAAATAAAACCACTTCAGGCTCAAGATCCCATGAGGTGATAACTCCAGAGAAGATGAAGAGAAAAGCGAGATCCAGTTATTTCTGCATTCACAGGATGAATCTTGTGTGCAGTTTGGCAAGATTTACACAGCAATTGATTCATCAACTCAGGAGTATAAGCTGAATAATATCTGTATTTCATTGCTTTCTACTTCTGTGCTTGTCAAAAAAAACTAGATAGTTTGAGGAAAGAGTTTATGAAGCAAAAGGGAGGAATTTCCTAGATATTTTACACACTGGAAGGGGTGTGTAGGGAGGGAAGACTTTACGAATAGACAATTTTCAACCCTGCAAGCGGCAGATGAAGATTGAATGAGTCATCACTCCCACAGAACAAAAGCTGATAAGAGAATGCAACTCTGTAAAGTACTTACCCCCATGGTGTTCCACATGGTTATTCATTCAGCATCTCGTTTCCTGAGGGAAAACACAGTACTTGAAAGACTCATCTGATTGAGTCAGTAAAGGGATCACTGTGAAGCACGTCCACTCTTTTGCACTTAAATTGACAACTGGATATGGAGTGGACACGTGCCACCGTGGATCTCCTTTGCTGACCTCAAAGCACATTTGCTTCATCAACAAAATGGAAGATGTCTTACAGTACTGGATTCTCCAGGATATTGCATTAATAACAAAGGCTGGAACGCATCAAAGCACAAGTACTTTACAGTAGTTACCGTCCTCATTTGGGTTTGTAACTTGCAGGGAGGAAACACACTGGGGGCTGGGGCCCATTCCTACAGACTTGCCTTTGAGACCTTGTGAAAGCTTAAAATCTAACTTTGGGCTGGCTGATCAGTTTCCAAATACGACCCAGCAGGGTTCACATGGACATGTCCATGTTGGATTCATCAAAATCTCTGCAGCAGAACTGTGCACTGATGCTACCAGGCACTGAGGTAGAACTGGAATCCCAGGAAAGTAAAAAAAANCTCTTCTGAGCTTTCCCAAAATTGTACTATACTGCCATAGTGGCTTTGTGATCTCTGCGCTGCCTCCCAGAGACACTCAGTGATGTGCCACAATAACTGCAGGCCCATCTGGGTCTGCTCCAAAATTACTGTGAAATTATCTTAATTCATTTGGAACAACTGTAAAAACATTACTGTCATTACTCGGCACTTTCATAGCACTCTTAATAATAATAATAATCCTTGCATTTGATATAGTGCTTTTCACGTCTTCTAGACATCCCAAAGCGCTTCACAGACTATAGTGTGAAGTGAATTGACTGTATATTTGTGGGCGAACGTGGCAGTCAATTGCGCAGAGCAGTGTCCCACAAACAGTCGTAGATTGAAAATGACCAATTTATTATTGTTTTTGTTTTGGAGGGATTATTATTAGGCTCTGTGTGGAGTAAGGAAACTTGCCCAAGGTTTCGCCCTCTGCCTGGAATTGAACTCAGGTCTCTCGCTTGCAAAGCGAGTGCTCTAACCACTGAGCTACAGGACTCCACTAATGGCTACCGGAATGTGAACAGGTACTGGAATGTGATCAGATAACTAGATTGGCAGTACAAGTGTCTCAGTTGGTAGTACTCTCGCCTCAGAATCAGTAGATTGTGGGTTCAAGCCCCACAACGGCATTTGGAACCCACATACTGACACTGTGCTGAGGGTGTGCTGCTTATCACAGATGTCGTACTTCTGATGAGGTGTTAAACTGAGGTCCTATCTGCCTGTCCAGTGGACATTAAAGATCCCATAGTACTATTCGAAAAGAGAAGGTAGTTTCTCCTGGTGTGCTGGCCGACAATTCCCTAAATAAAATTGGTCACACACTACGTAGGTGGTTGTGGGACATTGATGTGTGCAAATCAGTCTTGATGACACTTCTTCACCCCCTCCTGCTACCGACAGATAAGACAGATGGTCTGACACTCACTACCCAGCTTTACTCATAAGTATATTGGAGGGCAACTCTAGTTCATGGGACTGTGATGCAGAACTAACGACCATCTTCAAAAGAAGTGTGTGTGTGTGTGCGTGTGGGGGGGGGGGGGCGGGGGGGGGGTGTGGAGAAGATGGTAAAAGCAGCAATGGTGGGGGGGAGGGGTAAAGGTTAATTTTGTTTTACAATCAAACTAGAATTGGAGCATCAAGACCTGGCTTGTACTGAGCCATTCTGTCCCTTTGCCAAATTTAGAGATTTAATCACTGCACAAAGGTAATAGTGATTAAATAAAATTACTTAATAAAAGTGCATTAGTTATTTATATTCAAATACAAAAGATCATTAGTCATTAGTTCACAGTGAGAACATCCATCACTTGGTTAGAAAGTTAGCATGCGCACACCAGCAAAACTAGGCACATTTCAACTTCTTTGCCAGAGTTTAGAAACTTCCAAAGTGGAAATCTAGATTAATCTTTCAAGGATTATTAATAAAAAAAGATTTGATAATAGTGCCTTTCATGTTGACACGATATCTCAAAGCGCTTCACAGATTTATTGTAAAGTGTAATGACGCTGTATTTTGTAGGCAAATGCGACAGCCAATTTGCACAGCAATGTCCTGTGTTACACAGCAATCGATTCTCCCATTCAGATATTTATAAACCCACTCAACTAGCAGGAAATACTTTAATGTGCTTTTGCAACATTAATAATAATAGACATGGATAGACAGAGAGAAAGAGAGAGGACAGAGTGATAGAGCCATGGCAAAAAGAGACAAGAACGGGAGAAAGAGAGAGACACACATACATACACTAAGAGACAGAAAAAAATTGTGAGAAAGAGAAATGGCAAGAGAGAAAAAAACATGGCAAGAGAGATAGAGAGCAAGTATGTGGATAAGAGAGTGAGCGAGCGAGCAGGAAAGTGAGGAACAACAACAATTTTACATTTATATAGCACTTTTCACATTGGGAGGTCATCTAAAAGTGTCAGAGCCAACTGGAAGCCCGAGCTGGGGGGGTGGGGGTGGTGGAGCTCAAAGCACTGTCAAAAAAGTAGTCTTAAGTGAGAAGGGGCTCCAAGAGGGAGTTTGTGGTAGAAGGAGGATTGCTGGAGGTCTCTAATGTAGGATGCGGTGAAATTGTGGAAGGATTTAAATGTGAAGACAAGGATCTTGAGTTCAATCTCCTGGGGATGGGGAGCCAGTGAAAGCGAAATGAGGAGCGTGCGGGAGAGCGAAACGGGGCAAAGGAAGTGGAAAAAAAGTGAAAGTGGAGGATGATTTAAGCGCAAAGCAAAGGCGAGTGCAAAACTAGAACAAGACCAACAGAGATGCAAAGGGAGGAAGGGACAGACAGTCAGCAAATGGGAAACTAAAAGGCAGAAACCAACAATTTACATTTCTACAGAGTATTTCACATCGGAAGGACGTCTCAAAGTGCTTCCACGATTGACTGGGGAGCCAGAGTTTGGGGGGTGGTGGGGGGGGTGTGGGGGTGGGAAGGAGCTGAATTGGGGAAGGGATAGGTGTCTGAAAGCACAGATGAAGAAATGTGGTTGGGGAGTAGAAGGTTGAAGACGGAGAGGGAGGAGGAAAGGCAGAGGGACTTTTGGCAAAGACTTCTAGAAAGCCAGGGCTGAAATGGCTGAAAGCTCACCCTATGTTGTTGGGATGGAGCAGCCGGGTATGTACAGCAGAGGGAGCAGCAGGGGCCCATAGATGGTAACCCTATGGAGGCATTTGAAGATAAGGATGTGAATGTTGAATTCGATCCACAGGGGGATAACCATACTTGGCAATAGAATGTCAGAGTCGAGCCCATCCTCTGTGGCAGTCTCAGTAGTCCAGTTCCTGAGCTAGGCAAGTCCGCAGTACTCCAGGACATCGCTGATGACAGACCAGGCAGTTTGTCAAACCAGTCAAAGTGAAACACTTTGAGAGATGTCCTCCTGATGTGAAAGGTGGTATGTTAAATACAAGGATTATTATATAAGCAGTGTGAAATTTGCCAGACAATGTTCTCAATGGCAGGCTTTGCAGTTTTAGCTAAACTCCAGTAATACCTGAGTGCACATTTGAGCGATCCCCAAGCCTTGGCTCTCGAAAACCTGCGCCCTATACCATCCAGAATAACATAAGCGATGCATCCCGAGAGGGCGAGAGCACGTGTTTCATTTCCAAGCACAGGGAAATTTCCATGTGGAGGTGGCATATATATATATATATATATATGGAATTGGATACTCTTAAGTATGACGATGGGTTTCCACATGCGTCAGACAAACCAGCTGAAGAAAAAACATGGGGAGTCTGGCGACCATGGTGTTCAAGTAATCAAGGCTGGAGAGGGATGAAGGCATGGCTGAAGCCAAACGGACAGGCAGCCAGACAGACAAGAGAGCAAAATGGGCAGGAAGCCAGACCGAGAGACAGCCAGCAAAAGTGACAGGCAGACAGACAGAAAGAAAGAGAGAAAAGGCGGCAGGCAGCCAGTCAGAGATACAGCTAGCAAAGGCGACAGGCAGGCAGGCAGTCAGGCAGCCAGCAGAAGGGACAGGCAGCCAGGCAGGGAGACAGAAACACAATGGAGAATATCCTGAAAAAAAATTCACATTTTAAAAAAGAAACGAGTTAGTGGTCGGCACAGAAAGGGTTAAAGATTCTGGAAGTTGTTTTAGCTGAATTCAAGCAGCTGCCTGGAAGCCAAGACAAAGAGTTTGAAAGAAACCCTGAAAATTCTCATCGTATTTGCTCAGAGTTTAACTTACAAGTGCAGCTAGTTTTGTGCCACATACCGATATTGCATGTACAACGCCATCGTCAAAACTGTCCTGCTCCCAATGGAGATGCTGGACGCTGGCTAAACGCTGGTCCGGCAAATAAAGATTCATCCACAATGGATCCTTAATATCAAATGCTAATCTGAGGTCTTCACAAACTTGCAGCTTAGAAAGGAAGGAGAAGACAGTCACGCAATGTATTCCAAGTGCTCAGCTATCGGGAGTACTCTCACCCTCACTAGCCTGTTAAACAATGTTAGTCATGCATTACCACTAAATGCCACTGACGCTGTCATGGCAACCACCGTCCTATTTAAGACAGAGACACACAGCTGACTCCTCGTTTATCACATGCGTAGCTCGCGTTTCGGTGACTGCTCTTTTACGAAGCCACAGTCTCCGCTGCGAGTACCTGGCTGTTCTGCCGTCCATCACTTCCACACAAGAGCAGCCGCCTGCGCGCACTCTTGACGTATGCTGACTGCTCACAAGCACGCAGCAATTTTCTGGAAGTACTTACAATCACGAGAAAGGGCACCCCGTTTCAATCCAAACACGTCAGCTAACATCAGTGAGCAAAGCTGCCCTTGTGAGTTCGCATTTGAGCAAAGCAACTAAGAGTTTAATTTTTGAAAATATATTTTCTGCCCCATTCCCCCTTCCTCTCCCCTCCCCCCCCGGCTTCCTGGTGCGGTCAACCTCCCATTTTCTGCTACTTTCTCTTTTTACTATCACCCTAGTTCCCATTATTCAAGTTACAGCCTTGACAGCGAGTGTCGGCAGACTGTTTGACCTTGGTGTGGGGGAAGGTGGGGGGTGGGGGAAGGTTTGGGTTCAAGGGCAATAACAGCCGAGCTTGAGCTATCCTCATGCAACATTCATGCACAAACCATACTGCTTATAGTGACCAGGAGTGGGAATCCTGGCTGAATTCCCTCCATAACCCAAGAATCTAAGATCAAATTGGGTCCAAATTCAGTTGACTTAGTGGTAACCTGGAATGAAGGTCAAATAACTCAGCGCTGATCAGAGAAATCAAACCTGGGACCTTACCCATCTGTACAAGTCTCAGCCGTGCTGCATTTATAATGTTCTGGTGTCTCCCATTGCATCAACAACAAAAAATTACATTTGTATAGAACCTTTCACATAGGGAGGATGTTTCAAGGGGCTGCACAGTCAAGGATTTGCGTCTGAACTAGGGGCTGGGATCAGGAGGGGTGGAGGGCAGGGGGGGTAGGATGGCGCCCGAAGGGGCAGTCGAAGAGGAGGATGTTGAGACTGCCTTGAAGGAGGCAAGGGAGGTGGTGAGGTGAAGGGACTGCGGGAAGGAATTCCAAAGGGTGGAGGCAGAAACGGGGGACATGGAGCAGGCCAGAGTCCGCTGAGCAGAGAGGTTGGTATGGTTAAGACATTTATTGGTTTGTGGGACACTGCTGTGCGCAATTGGCTGCATGTTTCGCACACAAAAAATACAGTCAATTCACTTTACAATATATTCTGTGAAGTGCTTTGAGACGTCTCGAAGACAGGAAAAGGCACTACATCAAATGCAATGATTATTATTATTATCTAGTTACAAGTCTACAATTTTATTGAATCCTCCTTTCCTCACAATGTTGCTTGCTTCCAATCATTGAGGAATATTTTCCCCTTTACCTATGAATGTTTATACACCGATATCAAAAGTCACCCTTGCAAAAATGTGTTTTTTTTTCCTTGCACTGAGGACAGTTTCAGGAGCTGGAGTTTTGTGGACTGACCTTGCTGACATCTGTTCCTCTGTTGCTGTCAAGCACAGTTCCAGGATTCAGAAGGTCAATGCTGAGAGTACACAACCTGCATGCTCATGACACTGACTTCAGCTATGAAAACATGTGGGGGGAGGAGAGAGAGAGCGCAAGAGAACATGAGAGAAGAGTCGTTCAAAATACCAGAAAGGCTACCCACTGAGCAAGTGTCATGTCAATGACTGTTTTCCAGCTGTTATCTGGTGACAAGAATTCCTTCCCCTTATCCCCACCCCCACCAAAGGCTGGGACACTATGGCAGGCAACGCTCCCAATGTCATCAATCTTTTTATGGGAGCCCAAGTAGTGAGCGGTTGAGCATGTAGACACCACAGCCAAACTCAAACCTGAACTCACAAGACCCACAAGTGCACACATGTCATTCGATCGCTATGAGGATTGGGAAATCTCTCTTTCTTTCTCTGTCTGCCGCCCCCCACCCCGCCCCCCCCTCAGGATTCTGAAGCCAATTGTACTGATCCATTGCTGCCAAAATGAGGTGAACACAGACTATGATTACATTAGTCTGTATAGCTTGATATTGCATGTCATACACTTATCCACACTGAGCCATCAACAGAAGCCTGACTATAAAATGCAGCCACTTGGGACAGTAAGAAAGCATCAGTATCAAAAGCAATATTTTGCTGTCTATATGGCAGTAATCCCATTGCAAAGTTACATGATGTTAAATTGCATGAGCAAAATCCCAAGCAGTTTTCAACAGCAATTACTATTGTATAATCACATCTGGGCTTCCATTCTGATCCACAACGCATAGTGAAGACCGACTGCTCTGCTGCATTTGCACTCAGTTGTTTTTGCTGCAGTGGGATTCATGCCAGACACGACATGCAGATCATTATCAGAAAATAAAACAGTCAGTATTTTTTTCATGGTGAGCCTAGGTGAAGCACCAAGGCCTCGCAGTGCAAGACACAACCAAGTCTGAAAAGGGTAGGGAAAAGCTGACGTAAATAAGGGTAGCTAACGTAAACTGAAGGAAATCTAGTGTTGAGGTATTGGAAAAGGAGATAAAAGTAGAAAACAGTACTAATTTTGAACTGGTGAAGGATTATGATTGCCGAGGAGAGTGCGCATTGTGCCATATTTAGATTTAGGGAACAACGACACACAGAGAAAGGGATAGGAAAAGAGCAAGCAAAAGATATATATATAAAAGAGAGGCACACACAGGCAGAGAGATCATCAGGCAAGATAGAGAGAGACTGTCAGCATCACACAAGGCTTTTTTTTCTTCGAGGAGAAAGATACTATGGAAGCCTAGATTATATCGGATTTAAATTGAAGAACCACAGGAGTAATTCAGTGATCAGGAGTTGCAGGGATTCACTGGAGTGTGCAAAAAAAATCAGCAGTTGATATTAGTTAGACCGAACAGCACTAAACATTTCTTTCCTGAACTGATTGACCCTACTGTACTGCATTTCACTGTCTGACACCTGATGCTTCACCTCTCACTCACCAGCTCATTGTACATGCAGTACTACCCTTATCTAAACCTGCCAGCAAATATAAAAGGATTCAGTAATCCCTACAGTGACTCGAGTTGACACATCTACTGTAGCAGCCAACCAACACATTGTATCTCAATCAATATTTTAGCACATTCATCCTAGACCTTTAGGTTCATATGTAAAACCCAGACAAGAGACTGAAAGCAATAAACGCAAGGACCTGAATGACTGATTGAGTTAGAATATCGGCATTACATCAATTTCTAATTACTGACTGTGGAATTGTTTTTCCTAGATTTGTATATTAAAAAAGATTGGTAGCAGCTACAAATCATTCTGACAGTCAAACATGGAACTGACAATATAACTCGTAAAGAAAAGACATGATGCAGTGGATTTAGCACCAAACTACAGGGTGACCAAAAAAGTTGTGATACCATTATAATATCTAATGAGTCTTAAAGAAATGAGGATTTTTTTTAGATAATAGGGAAGATATCATGACTTTTTGGCCACCCTTTATGAGGTGTGGAGACACAGAAGAGAGAAATACTGACTATACCCTGCAAGGTATAGGAGGGGAACACAACAAAATTACATTTGTATAGGGCCTTTCACGTCGGGAGGAATTCTCAAGAATAATGCATGCTCTTGGTTAAAACCAGCTAAAATGGAATTTTGTTCCATGCTTTTAAGGGATATTGCATTGCTGAACTGTGTGGCCTTCCCTCCACATAGCAGGAATGGTCTGAGGATAGGAAATACAATCAGGCCGGCAAAGTTACACTTTGAAAGGCCAATCTCATTTCTGATCTCCATAAAACATGACAGCAGCTAAAAGAATCTCCAGGCCGTAGATTGGCACTGGAGTGGATTTCCAGAGGGTAGGGAGGCCTCCGATACATCTGGGAATGTGCAGGATTCGCTATTTTGCAATTTGTTTTACAATTTGCATAAATTACCCGTAGGAATTGAGTCATTCAAATTGGAAGCACTTGAAAGGTAACAACATGAAAATCAAATGTGGAAACAGGTGGAAATTGAGATGAATAAAAAGGATGCCTGAAAACCGAAGCAGAGACAGTCCCAACAGTGTAGAGAATAGAGCTACTGCTTCTGGTTTCGGGGCTTTCTGGTTTGGATTCCAGTCCGTGCTCAGTTTACTAGCCTCAACCAGCACTGAATGGTTAGGAAGGATAAAATCAGCCAGGGTTCCTGCTTCTCGTCCCTCTTCAGCACCCTCTACTGGTTGTGTGTCTGTGTGTGTGTGTTTCAGCCAGGTGAAGAGAGATTAGAAAATCAAAGTGGGGTGTCCATTAACTAATAATAATAAACCTTGCATTTGATATAGCACCTTATCACGTTGTTAGGACGTCTCAAAGCTCTTCACAGAATATACTACAAAGTGAATTGACCGTATATTTTGTGGGAGAAACGGGGCACCCAATTGCACACAGAAGTGTCCCACAAACAGTCATGGTTTGAGTGACCAAATTATTATTTATTTATTTGAAGGGATTATTACCCCCAGAAGTCGAACTACCAATAGATTAACAACCGGGTTTCTACTTAATGCTAGGTAAAGAGAAGCATGTGGAGTAAGGAAACTTGTCCAAGGTCAAACCCAGCTTCTCTCGCTTACAAAGCGAGTGGTCTAACCAAGACTCCATGTATTGGTTGGAGCATAGGATTTTAAAAAATATCATCTTCCAGAGTTGTACTTCCGCATATGGTAAGAAGAATTAACCCTCTGCTACCTGCTCTCAGTGGTTAACTTGCACAGCAATGATCTGCCATGGCATTTGCACATTTCTAATCACTTGTGAGAAAAGTAGACTGAAATTTTCAGAATAAAAGTATCGAGAACTACAAAAATTGTAGTTGCATCATATTGGTAAGCAAATACTCCCAAGGTGTTCGAAGGTCCGCCAAGGACAGTCTATTTGACTTGCACTCAAAAAGGCAGGTCATATCATACTGCCAGGCTGCCATCCAGACTGTCGAGTAGTCTGTGTGTCTGTGTAATGTTCCACATGCTGCTGCCAGAAAACACCCATTTTTGAGTTTGTTTCTTCCAAAAATAATAAACATAGTAATTCTACACTGATCTGTAAAAACAGAAATTTTGGAAATACACTGCAGGTCAATCAACATCGTAAAGGAAGTTACGGATGTGATTCTTCATCGGAACTCATTAACCTAGTTTTAGATCCTCTGTGATTTACAGCATTTTCATGTTTTTTCTTAAAATAATGAGATTCTCAGATGAGTCCAGGAAAGGTGGAAAGAGAACAAATCAACATTGCAAAAGTGGGCTGCACAGAAAATTTGAGATCACGGATTAAATCTTTGAGACATCATGGCTCAATCAAATTATGCTGCAATTAGACTAATCGGTACATGTAACTTCCGTGACCCAGATTACATAACAACCCAAAATGGTAGGAAGCGAATCCTTCTCTGTCTCAGAATCAGTCTCAGTCTAGTTTCCAGTGGGCCCAAACTCATGCCCCAATCTGATTCAAAACCATGCGAGAGTATGAGAGACAGTACACCTCCAATAACACTACACTGGTATGTCAGCCAAGATGGCTCAAAATAACAACATGCGGCTTGAACCCACAATCTTCTGACTCAGAGATGAGTGTGCTACCAACTAAGCTAGGCTGACCACAAGTGTGGATGTGTTCTTGTTACGTGCATTATTGGGAGTAGTAACTGCACCTGAACTGGAGGACACCCAAAGTGATTACCTTCCATAGAACTGACGTTTCTCACCTTAATGAGGATACATAATCATCACGTTGTGTGTCAACCTGGCTCTCAGCTCTGAGTCAGAAGGTTGCGGGTTCCATGTTGGGACTTGAACTCGCATAGTCTAAGAACTAACACTTCAGTGCAGTGCTGGAGGTTGATGCTGTGCGGGGCTAGAGGTGTGTTGCATTGCCATCCTTTGGGTGAGACGTTAAACTGAGGTGCTGTCTGCCAGTTCAGGTGGATGTTAAAGATCCCAAGGCACTACTTGAAAAGGAAAGGGAGTTTCTTCTGATGCCTGGCCAACAATCCCCCAGATAAAATTGGTCATTCACTCCATGGCTGGTTGTAGGACATTGCTGTGCACAACTGGCTGCTGGGTTTCACCCACAAAATACAGTCACTACACTTTACAGTAAATCCACTGAAGTGCTTTGAGATCTCGAAACAGGATAAGGCACTATATCAAATCAACGATTATTTATTATTTTAAAAAAAAATTATGTATCACAAATTATTAAGTCTGAATATTTGAACAAAATTAACTTTCAATCAGTTTTCCCCCCTCCCATTCTCTCCATTCAAGATGCTGATTCATGTAGATGTACAGCTTCACCCACCCAGCCACCTATTCCCTGGTACTGTGGCCATGTACCCACCCGTCACTTGTAAGTCAGACAGGGAGTGATGGCACAAGGCCGGGGTTGGTGGGGGGGAAGAGAGAGAGAGAAAAAAAAGCAAAACAGAAACTGAGCCAGTTCCCATTGTTCACATACATATTTGAATAGGAGTGCAGAATATGCAGCATAATTCCTGCTGTAATCTAAACACACTGTATGTGTG